GGGGTTTCTTCTTTAGGGCCCACATTCCCCCCTTTTTACAAGAAGCTCTTAAAAGGCCCAATCATGGGACTTGAGGCTGTCAGTTCAATCTTCTGCCAATCCTTCTGTAACCTGTTGGTACTGAGACCTGAGCACCATTATTTGTACTGCAGTTATGCGCTCTTTGATAAATGAGACTAACCTGTTAAGTATGCAAGGCCCAATGGTCAGGAGTAGCAGGAGAATGAATAAGGGTCCTATTAGAGTGGAGATCAGAGTGGTGACCCATGGGGAGGAGTTGTACCATGATTCGAACCACCCTTGAGCTTGCTCTCGTTCACGCTTATGCTTGGCTAGGCCTTCTCTGACTTTGGTCATAGTCTCTTTAACGACTCCTGAATGATCTATGTAAAAACAACATTCTTCATCTAGTGCTACACAGAGCCCTCCTTGTTGTAAAAATAATAAGTCGAGCCCTCTTCTATTTTGCAAGACTACTTCTGACAGTGAGGTTAGTGATTCTTGAAGGTGAGAGATAGAATTCTCTATTCTTTCTATATCTAAATCTATTGCTGTTCTAAGGCTTTGATACTGTTGCCCCTGCAGGATCAAGGAGGAAGCTCCTGTCGCTGCTCTGGCTGCTCCTAGTCCTAACAGGAGTGAGATTGTTATTGCTGTAGCTGGTTCTCGTTTCTTCCTGGCTGGGCTATTTTGCCATTTATTTAAAAGATCTATCTTTTCATGGTATATTAGCCTCGGTATTAGTTGTATTAATACACAAAAATCTTTTGTTGTAGCTAGAACTTGGGTATGTACACAGGAGGTTATTCCAGTGGAACAGGCCCACCACCCATTTGCCGGGGGTAAGACATAAGTATCTGCCTCGAGTTGCTGGATAGTACTGCAGAGGTACTGGTGGGTTTTTGGAATGGTTCCTATACATAGGCCCTGTCCGAACACTGACTGTAAGGTCAATTTGTTTTTCTGAATTGATTGACATTTGGAGGAGTTGACACTAGTGGTTATGGTGGCGTTAAAGGCAATTCCTTCATAATAGGGAGGTTTCACATCATAGCACAGCCAGCATGATTCAGTCAAATTTGGGCTGGAGGTGTTCAGAACTAGATATGTTTCATTAACTAATCGTAATAGCGAGTCTTCTGGGCTAGTGGGTTTGAAAGAAACTGTCATCCCTTCACTCTCTGTGTTAGTACTCACGGTTACTGATCTTGGTAGTCCCTGTGATGGTTTCAGCGGATTGAAAATCTTATTGGGTCCTATAGATGTTCTTGGGGTTTTTACTGTCTGCCTCAACGTGAATATCACCCCATGGTCATGTTCAGTTTTGTAAACACGTAGTCCCCACATCCTACCTTTTGTCCATTCAGTCCACTGCTTCCCTTTTTCTGTGAACCGAATGACTATAGGATTACACATATATTGCTTACAAGGTCCGTCCCCACGCCAGGTACCCCATGAACTAAATCCTGCCCCGTTAGGGAATCCCACTGCTTGCCGGCTCCAACATTTTCCCTTAACCAATCCCTTGCCTGAATGATTTCTTTTTACAGTTATTAAATCCCATGTTGAGGAGGGCTTCCAATATGTGTCTCCTGTTGTTTCGCAACCCCAAGACGCACAAAAGAAATGCTCTGGTCCCCCACACTTATAAGCTCGAGCCTTACTCCTCCCGTTCTGGGGGCACACATAGATGGGGAGTGTTCTCAGCACTGCTCTAAGGGTGGGATGCCCACATCCAGCTCCGGATCCTATCCCTATGCCTGAGCAGCGTCTACTACAGTCAGTTTTCCCATTGCATTCAGGCACTCCTCCACGGCTGGGTTCAAACGTTGGCACATCCCATGATCCTGCAGCTAGTTGGCACAAGTCAACTGTTATATCAGGCCACCAGGTGTTAGGTGTCGCCTGCTTGGACACTGATGCAACTACTTCTCCCTTGTGGGAGAGGACCTGCCAGGTCAGCTGCTGGGGTAAATGAGGGGATCCTTGGATCCATGGGATGAGGGTCAATAGGATCAGGGTTACAAACATGGTCAAGTTCTGGGTGTTTTCTTAATTCTAATCTTGAGAGGGTTGTCCGGATGTCGCTCAGCTTTTCAGTCAGCAGGGGGCGCAGTCGGCTTTACAAGCGAGAGGTGAATCCAGGCTGCTACTCCATCTACTTTGCGTGCTGTTGGGGTGATTAGCAAAACCTGGATCGGATCTCTCAACTGAGCTTCCAAAGTCTCCGGGCAGCGTCTCCGAACAAACACCCAATCTCCCACGTCGTATTCGTGGATCTGTGCTGGGGAACCTGTTTCATAAAGGGCACGAAGTTCAGGCCAGAGTTCTTTGTTTTAGGAACTTGGACTTTACTTTAGGACTCTTTAACAGGGAGTACCGTAGAACCTACTGCTGGTGCCCTGCCATTTGATAACGGGTGTCAAGGGCGGGGCCGCTTTCAGCAGAGCTGGGAGCTGGCAGGCAGGTTTGCCTCTTTCTTTCTTTTATTGGGCCTCTTCCCCCTACCGTGTCTGCTTCTTTTTGTAGGGGGCTGAGGCTCTTGAGGTACACTCACTCGCAGAGGCCTAGCGAGTGGGGCCGAGGGACAAAAGGGGGCGGGGGCGCTTTCATGGACTTTCTCTTCCACCTGAGGTTTAAAGCAATACGGCAGGAAAATGCTCCGCGGGCCTCCGCCACGCAGGGGGAGGGAGCGGCTCACAGGGCTTGGTAGGGAGGGGGAAAAATGAGCTTTTCTGCAATGCTTTCCTGTAGAACTGGGTAGAGCGGCGCCGTGGGCTTATTGTCTATCTGTCTTGCCTCGCTAACTTCTTATGGAAGTTTCTCTTTCTCGCAGGCCGCCAACACTACAGTCGGTAACTGCGGCTTCTGCAGAGGCAGAAAGGGCTTTACCTATGGGGGAGGGTTGCAAATGAGGTCTTCCCAGGCAACAATGTATGGGATTTGATCCGGGTGCCCTGTTCATGGGCGAACAATGTCCCGGACTCTCCGAGTGGTTTGTAGGTCAAAGGTGCCCTCTGGTGGCCATCCTGCGTTAAAGGCAGGCCACTCAGAATGGCAGAAAGTCAGGAGTCTGCCTTTCTTAATACCCACGCTAAGATTCTGGGCGCGCTTTTTCACTTCTTCAAAATGATCAGTCACAAGGGACAATGGGGTAGTCGCTGTTTGTCCCATGGCGTCAGTAGGGTATTAGTAACACACACACACGATAGGTCAATAGTCTCAGTGATAGCAAAGGTGTCTCTGAAGGTTTTGCTGCTTACATGAGTTATAGTGCCCGTATATAAAGCCCACCGAGGAATCGGTCTCAGGAGGGGCCGGAGCCCAGTCCTACGCAAGGCCGAAATGCTGCACTAGGTTCTCTTAGTAAGCTCAGCATCCACCAATCAGGGGACAAGAACTGGAGAACAAAGGAAGATACCGCAGATCGGTCAGGTTAGAGGCACAGCACTGCCAGATAGGAGAAAGTGCAGAGTAATAAAAGAGAGAAAGAGTCAGTCTGTGACAGACAGTCCAGTCTTCAGGGGTGGTCACCGCCAGTCCAACACTCAAAACGAGAGCTAAGGGTAAATATGCTAGGTTGACTAGGACACACATAGACCAAGAGGGGAACATAGAGTCGGGGTTTGAATGACGAACAGGGGGTCCACACAGGCGCCTCTCTGGCCACGCCTCTCGCGAGGTATTGCAACTCTTTCTTAGTGCAGCCGTATAAACCCCGGCCCTGGTCACCGCTAGCGAAGCGGAGTCACCGTTATGCCATATGAAAGAGTCGTGGAACTGCAGGTTAAGGCTCATTCAGACTCCGTGGCCGGGGGCCGTGGAGCCGCACGGACTGAGCACAGCAGGATGTGCCCAGTTACACTCACACCGCAATCGCACGGCCACTCACTCGACTCTAACTCTAACGACAGACAAAGATTGAGACCCGACAGTACTCCCAAGACCCCCTGCCGGTACCCTTATGGCATGTCCGCCTAGGCTGTCCTCTGGCTTCAGACTGAAACATGAGTTCCAAAACAAAACACAGACTAAGTGGTTACACACAAACACAGACTTACCGGCCGGTGACAACCCTCCGGTTTTGGGGGTCCTGTGGGGATTTTTGGGGGGGTATCCCGGATGAGCCCCCAGCTGTTATGCCCAGAATTCGGGGTCCCCAAAGACCGCCAAGGAGCCGTCACCGATGCAAGTACATAAGAGTTGTTTATTCAAGCTCAAGCCTGGGCCTCCTCCGTATCAGACACAGCGGACCCAGAACTCTTTGTTAGTGAGGTTTTTATAGAGAATACAAACAGGTTCGGGGGTCTTCTACTTAACTTCTCTAGGATTGGTTTACATTTAGTAAGGTATAGGGTAATACAATTCGATTGGTCATTATCCGTAGCTTGGGCAGCCTGATTAGGGTAAGGAGAACATACATTATCTATCCTTGGGGTTGTCAGGAATATTTATCTCTTCTTTATAGCTTGTAGAGGGAGGGGGTCATCTCTGCCTAGTACTAGCTGACCAGGCACATTCCTGAGACAGGGAGACATGTTTTGGCCAAAGTAGAAAATGGGGTTTCTTCTTTAGGGCCCACATTGGAAACCCTATACAGGGTTGCTATAGGTCAGAACCGACTTAAAGGCACTTCACAACAACAATAACAACTGTTTATTCACATACCTAAAATTGAAACAAAATAATTTTGTTTTGCACTTGTGGTATACTCAGGTGTGTTTTTTTTTTAAATACTATCCTGTTTTGTGGGGGAAAATGATGTTTCCTTCATCATTTTGATTACTTAATGGGTTATATGTGCAACTGAAAATCACTGCCATAGAGAAAATTACACAGAACAAAGCAAAATCACTCAGATGAAAAATAGGTAATATCTTGCTCAATCAGGATCCGAGGCATCTCTTTATGTGTGCACACGTATCTGGAAGTATGTATAAGATCGCATAAATGGAAACCAGGTCCTTAGACTCTGGAAGAAGAAAACTTGTATATAATTGGAGGCATCTTGTAATAGATGCAGATACAGATTGAATTTTCTGGACGTTCAAGGGAAAAGTCCAGCTCTAACTGGGGCTGTCATGGAGCTTGATCTATAGAGGGGAGCAGGGGCAGGGAATGTCATCTAGATAGTAATTGTTGAGTGCCATAGACTTGATTCCAACTCACAGTGACCCTATGTGACACACTAGAACTGCCCCCACATGGTTTTCTTGGCTGAACTGTTACAGAAGCAGAATGCCAGGTCTTCTTGTGGGGCCTTTTGAGTCAATTAGGACCACTGAACCTTTCAGTAAGTAGCGGAGCACTTAACTCAAAAGAAGTGAATTGTGAGTGGTAGTCGGTCCACTGGGTAGATCAGGATCAGTAATGGGAAATGAATTTTCAAGGGTGACTTTGTAGTCAAATTGGGAAGAGGGCTGGTTTTGAAAGTTAAATTGGAAAGGAGGTAGATTTTACTTGTAAACAATGTAGGGGAAGGGATATGAATAGGTGGATAAAGAAGAGAACAAAGAAAATCTATTACACACTTACAGAGATGTGCATAAATATTATTAATCCAAAAAAGGAAAACTACGACAATAATGAGGTACTTTACACTGTATTTTCTTACAATTATTGGAAAGCTGAATAATGCTAAGGGTTAGTTGGGATAGCCACTCTATATCCTTCATCTTGCCCAGTAAGATTTCTTTTTGTTCCTAAAATGCAAACAACATTTAAAAGGAATATGATTTGATTTCCTCCTAGTAAATAGTAAAATGGCCCCTGTGAGTGGTATCAATCAAAGTGTGAAGAATTCTTCCAGGATGGGCTAAAAGGAGAAAAACTGCCTTCAGAAATACATAGACCTAGATGGAGGAAATGTTGTGAAACTATAACTTAACATTTTGATATTTTTTATTAATAAAAGTGTTTATAATTTTGTGGCAATCCCTTCATACTCATATATCTTTTTTTAAAAATGTTTTATTGTGAATTCTGTGGTAGTTTACATGGGAGAACATTAGCTTTACATTCATCCTATTGTATATCGTTTCATTGCCTTGGTTTACAATCCCCTCCACGCATCATCAACCAACCAAATAGTACACCCAGCAAGACTGGTCGTCAGCACACAGCTCCTCTCCCTCTCTGGGTCTAGAGTTGCCAGCCACTACATCTCTCCACATCATCCCGTCTTTGCCTCCATCTCTAACATCACTGTTTCTCTGGGTAGGGTCCTGCACTCCACTCTTCTCCCCTTGATGCTCCCAGGGTCCTCCACTCCTGGACTGCAAAGTCAACCACTCCCCTCCTTTTGCTACAATCGTATGTCTTTTTAAGAAAATTTACACAATTTATAATACTTTACACTGTCTTGCCCTTTACTTCTTTTTCATTTCCCTGAGACAGGTTGAGTTCCTATAGAAAACACTGTATTTTTTGCATTATTTATTTTTCTGTACTGTTTTTCTTTTTCTTACAAAGACAAGAAAAACTGTAAAGATGTAATTATCTCCCATAATGAGATCTGATATAATAGAATCACCTCCATGATTGGATTATATTTGCTACTGTTACTGGAGTCGCTCTGAGGAGTTGCCAATGCCGCACAGGTTGTAACAAAGGAAGGGCTTTATTGTGCTGGTGCATGGCTCAGTGGATTTGTATCCAGAGGGTGAGCCCCGTCTTCTCTATGAGAATATTTTATAGGGAATAAGGGTGCATACATGAGTTCATTTGGCATTGGTTAGCTGGCATCAGCAACTTCACAGGGCTACCTGGGATTGGTTGGTTCAAACACACAGCAGGGAAGGATGTATGAGCATACAAGCGAGCAGTTATGGAAGTGAAAGCAGATAAACATTAGCTCGGGGCTCTGTTCCCTCCTGGAGGTGGGTCAGGAACAGGAGATTAGCCTGGGTAATCACATGAAGCTGAGATGTGGTCTGTTGCTTATTTCCTGGAATGTGACCCCTGCTCCAGGAATGAGTTTATGAGCCTAGGAGACATGGGGGGCCAGCGCCTATTTCCGCAGGCCTGCCTTTGAGTTATGGTGTTCTAGGAGAATATCTGAAAGTGCCATGGGCTGCCAAAAGAACCAATAGATCTGCTTTGGAAGAAGCGCAGCCAGAGTGCTCCTTGGAGGCCAAGATGGCCAAACTTCGTCTCTCATACTTCAGACATATTGTCAGGAGGGGCCAGTCACTGGAGAAGGATACCATGTTTGGTAAGGTGGCAGGTTAGAGAAAAAAAGGAAGACCCCCAACGATATGGATTGGCCAAGTGGCAGAATCGATGGACTCAAGCGTGGCAACAGTCTCAGGCAGTGTTTCGTTCTGCTGTGCTATCTATCAGTAAGTACGGACTCGATGGCACCTAACAACAACGATTCTGAGACCATAACTTCACTTGTAACCGCCAGTACATGTCTCCTTTAACCCTTAACAAAGTGCTCAAGATGAGTAGACAGATACTAGCTAAAAAAACGCCACAGCTGCTCTTAAAAATATAGGTGGTTCTGAAAAGAGCGTTTAGATTGCCTACTTAAAGATACGTGCCTTAAGCTCGCTTCCCATTTCCCACGTATACCGTGGCCTAGCTGGATGTCCTTGGGCTTGATGGTCATGCGCTTGGTGTGGATGGCGCACAGGTTCGTGTCTTCAAACAGCCCCACCAGGTTGGACTCGCTGGCCTCCTGCAGCGCCATCAAAAGCGCAGATCGGTCTTGAAGTGCTGTGCCATCTCGAGCATCAGCCACTGGAAAGGTAGCTTGTGGGTCAACTTCTGGTAGCCCCGGATCTCCCACAGGGCCACGGTGGGGGGGGGGCGGGGGCCCTTCACGCCGCTGGTGGGAAGAGCACTTTTATGGACAGCCTTGGTGGCCAGCTGCTCCCGCGGGACCTTGCTCCAGTTATCTTGCGGGCAGTTTAGTACAAGTCATGATATCTCATTGTTTGGTTTTGTTTTCCCAAAGCATAGACACTCTTATTTGTAAACATAGACTCATATCCTATAATGCTAGAATATCACTGACTTAAATTCAAACCTCTTTACTGTAGAGAAAATTGTTATGTTATTCTTTTTTTCCTTCCTGTTTTTACTACTTTCCAACAATCTTATTGATCACAGATATTTTTCTTTCTTCTTTTTTTTAAAGATATGCCCTTTTTCATTGATATAACTTTTGTAAAAGCAAGTTACAAAGTGTCTTTGCAGGATTGATACTATATTTTAAAAAGGTTTCTTCTTCAGAAAACAAGCATGCCTTTCTCCACACTAGGTTTCTATGTTTCAAGTGACCAGTTACTATAACTCCTATCCTATGTTGCTAGGTGCCATAGAATACGGTCCAACTCATAGCAACTGTATGTCCAACAGAATGAAACACTGCCTAGTCCTAGGCCGGAATCACAGTCTTTGTTAGGCTTCAGCGACTGTCGCTATGTCAATCCAACTTGTTGGAGGCCTTCCTCCTTTTCACTGACCCTCTACTTTACCAAGCATGATGTCCTTCTCCAGGAACTGGTCCCTCTTCATAATATGTCTGAAATTTGAAAGATGAAATCTTGCCATCCTGGCTTCTAAGGATCAGTCTGGCTATACTACTTTCAAAACAGATTTGTTTCTTCATCTGGCAGTCCACAGTATTTTTTAATACTCTTCTCCATCAGCTCTTCTCTGTTCTTCCTTATTCATTGCCCAACTTTCACATGCATATTTCATATGCGTATAAGGCATACTTTAGTTCTCAAACTGACATCTTGAGCACTTTACAGAGATCTTGTGCAGCAGATTTACCTAGTACAATACGTTGTTTGATTTCTTGACTGCTGTTTCCCTGATGCACATCTTTCCTGATTTTAAATTGTTCAGTGTCCCCTTCTTCTGTTCAAACAACAGCCTCTTGGTCTATGTACAGGTTCCTCATGAATACAATTAAGTGTTTTGGAATACCCATTCTTCTCAATGTCATGATCACATAGTCAAAAACCTTTGCATAGTCAATCAAGTACAGATAAGCATCTTTCTGGCATTCTCTGCATTCAGCCAAGATCCATTTGACATTACCAGTGATGTCCCTTGTTCTAGTCCTCATCTGAATCCAATTCGACCCTATGGCCATTTCCTGTCTACACACTGTTGCAGTTGTTTTTGAATTATCTTTGGCAAAGTTTTACTTGCATGTGATATTAATGATATTTTCTGATGATATCTGCATTTTGTCGGGTCACCTCTCTTTGGAATGGGTACAGATATGGATCTCTTCCAATCAGTTGGTCAGGTAGCTGTCTTCCAAATTTCTTGGCATAGATAAGTGATTTCTTCCAGTGCCACATCAGATTGTTGAAAAATTAAAATTTGTATTCCATCAATTTCTGGATCCTTGTTCTTTGCCAATGTCTTCAGTATGTATACCTTGAACTTCTTCTTTCATTACCATTGGCTCTTGAACAATGCTCAACTCTTGAAATGGTTGAACATTGACCATTTCTTTTTGGTATAGTAAATCTGTATTCCTGCCATCTTCTTTTCATGCCTTTTGTTCAAACAGAGCAGAAACAAGGCTGGCCTCTTCTATAGATCAAGGAACCAGGAAGCAGAAGCTGAAGAGATAAGGAGCATGGGAAACAGAGTTGTTTTGGTCTCAAAAGGTAGGACCATCACCTCTGGGGTTTCTAAGGATGGGGGTCACAGTTTCTTAAGTTTCAAAGAGTTGCATCATTTTTGTCAACTTGATTCTGGAGTGTGGAACTGCTCACCAAAGCTGAGTGGGCAGAATAAAGGGGGCTGCCAGGGCCAAGGAAGTGGGGTCACCACTCAGATGGACTAGAAAAGAATGGGGTTGCCCAAAGCCAAGAGAGCAGAGTTGTCATTCCAGTGAGCCTGGAAGGCGGAGTGGAAGCCCAGGATTGAGGAGCCTCTAATCAGAAACCAGAATCAATAATCAATACTCAGTCTGAAGAGCAAGGCCACTGCCTAGATAGTCTCAGAGAACAGAGGATTATTTGCAAGTTTTGAGAGCTAATGTAAATTGTTCTGCTGGAGTTTTAACTTCCTTGGTGCCTGTTATTATTCCCTTTCTCCCTCAATTGCTCCCATTTGTAATGGAAATGTCTACTTTGTGCCTGTTCTATCATTGTATTTGGAGGCAGATAATTTATATACACAGATGAAGAGGAATTTTGTCCCAGGTTGGAATTTGGATTTGGGAGACTGTTGGGATGATACCATGAGGTGCACTGGACTGCGAACCACAAGTTCAGTAGTTCGAGCCCACCAGATGCTCCATGGCTAACAAGCTATCTTTATGTTATCTGGATTCTTTAGGAATTCCTTGCTTCCACTATGTGACCCCACAGCCCCTGAATTTGCCTCCTAACAGCCTCCGTGGCAGTGAGGCCTGTCAAAATCATCAAACTCCTCCCAGAAAGCCCCACATAGGTTTTCGGAGCTGTAAATCTCTACCAGAGCAGAAAGCCTGTTATTTCACCCAGGGAACGGCTGGTTGTTTCGAATGTTCTCAGCTCGACTGGTAACCAATATGCAACCAGAGCTCCTTAAAAATGTTGGAAAATCTGGCTAACTGTTGACTCCTCTTAGAAAATATTTCCTAAATCCAAATTATTTTTAACTCACACAGCTATGGGGTTTGTCCCTACCATCTTAGAGCCAGGAAAGACCTGAGTCAACAAGACTCTTCTTGTTTTACAGTTAACCTGTTGGTCCATTTCTGTCCTCAAACTATGAAGCTCTGGTGTTTCAAATGGGACTTGACTCTTGTAGGAGTCCCGTGGTCTTCGAATGAGTTTACGATTCTTCCTACAGCCTGGAAGGTGAGAAACAACGTCTAATTCCCAGGTCTAGAAGCCATGAGGGTTACAGAATGGGTATCAGACCCACGTATTTGAAGCCCCCGCAGGTCCAACAGGCTCTAGGGTTTGCCCCTGCTGAGTCTGGGGCCAATAAAGGAACATCACTAGCTGCATATCTTGTCCTGTCATCATCTCCCTTCCAGGACCTTGATTTCAGTCCTGGAAACTACTGTCATCTCAGGATAGGACTTGTACTCTTGTGGGTGAAGCTCCATGGTTCCCGAATGCATTTGGTGACAGCCAGGGTTCATAAGAGCAGCCTAAACACTTTCCAGGCTCTGGTCATGATGCAACCAGCGTGAAGGAAAGGATCATATATGTCTGTTAGGCGCCTGCCTGACACCCATCCGGCAGTCTCCACTGGAGTTTTCTAGTATGCATTTCCCGGGAGGCTGTGGCAGACCCTGCGGCAGAGCCTGCACACTTCTGCGCCTATCAGGTCTTCCCAGGAGACCCCGCGCAAGGCTGCAATGTGTATTAGAGACCGGTGGGGG